GCACTTGTGTCCCTTTGAACTTCAGTCGTATAATAAATCTCTTATTAACCAAGCTTGCTCGGGACTGTACTTATTCACCATAGTAACGGACCTAATGCTGCGCTCGGTCCGTACTGTCAAGACCTCGGGCCGATATTCTCTCAGTACGGCCCTCGCGCTTGGTTAATAAGATATATTTATCATTTGTCTCATGAGTATTATGACTGCATATTGCTCATCTTCGTCAGGCAATAGTCTTCACCAGTCCACCTTATCGCCTGATGAAGACTAGCAGTATGCAGTTGAAACATCATGATCCACATCATAAGTGACTATATCACAATTAAGACAAACAATTACAATACTTTATTATTAAAAAGAAAGATTCCTTGAATTTACCTTATTTTCCATTGTGATCACAAACAAGCTGCCCCATTCACATATTACATCAATTACACCCTGGAATGTCCCAGTAAAAGCTGCAAAAAAACAATTAACAACTTTACAAATGTGACTGGCCTACATTTCTTTACAGAATACTGTTGGTGATAAAATGAACACAGTGTTCTGACTACTTAACTAAAGTCAAAAGGTTCCACCCTGCCCAGCATTCATGAAACCCTTACCCATAAATAAATAAAGGCTGATTAAGTTTCTAAAGAAACTGTTTGGGGCTGCGTCGGTGGGGGTAACGAAATAATTTGAAACCTATCACCAAAGTTGAAATGGGAAGTTGGCCACCGTTACGATTATAAAAGCTGACGTTTCGAGCGTTAGCCTGTCGATGGAGCGAATAGAGGAACTGTGGGTTGTGTGTGCTTTTAACAACCTCCTTACCTATAAACTTGTTTTGAATGTCATAGACAGTGACAACATTGACATTCCTGGGTTGAGAACTTCCTCTGTAACCAAAAAGGAAGAGTATGGCCAATATTATGTAAAATAAAAATGAAATATCAACAACAATTAATTAACATATAATATCTTAATTATATATCATTAATATATTAATATTAAATATATTATTATTTTAATTATATATCATCTATGTTAATACAGGGGTTTCATTAAGGGCCAGGCACCAGGCAAATTGACCGGTTGTGAGGACGGTTTTGCCCACCTGATTTGACGGTCTGGAGGAAAGGTTATCTTATAAAGAAGTTCAGTTCAAAGAGTTTTGCCCACCTGTGAAAACCAGTTGCCCTCCTGCAGAAAATATTAATGAAACCCCTGTAATAGTGTTATGTCCCTATAGTGCTGGGCTTGTATATATCCAGGAAGTCTCCCAGCTAAAGCTTTTTCAAAGTCACCATTTACCAGTCTTATCTCAATTTCATATCTTACCCTACTGCTGGTCTTTGAATCTGTTTGTTATCCTTACTGACCACTACAAGATATCCTCGCCACCATGTTACCATCTGTTTCTCACCTACCACAGCATCAAAACTGATTAATATCTTATATTATTAAAAACTAGATCATTGGAAAATGCAATTCAAGACTTTTTATTGGCTCAGCCATTATGGTATATCAGCCAATATACCAT